CGTTCAAGTTGACGTCCTTGGGATTTGAGCTGACGGAGGGCAGGGGTGAACCAGGGTGCTGAGAGCGTGAAAGAGACGGGTCGGGTTTTGAGAGGAGCATGATTGTTCAGGAGGTTATGGAGAGAAGTGTTGTAATGGGAGACCAGGTCATCGGGGGAGTCATTGGGATCAGTAGTGGGGAAACAAACAGAAGCAGCGTTCAGACCAGACCCCTGTTGAGGAGGCAAGTGACAAATTTAGTCATGAAAGGTCTTCTTCTCAAGATGAAAGTCACATTAAGACAATTCCCTCAAATGAACGCAAGGAATGTCCAGTCCACCTGTTCATGGCAAAGTCTTGTTCCCAGACTCTCTCTGCTTCTTCAGTGAACACAGAGAAACAGGACAATGCTATTTCTTCTGAACAGGACGGAGACAACAGAACGCCTAAGTCCAAGCCAAAGCGATCCATCTGGAGCTTTTTTAAATGCAAGTCTAGAAACAAACAGAAGCATCGTCCAGACCAGACCCCTTCAGAGGAGGCAGGTGACACATTTAATTATGAAATGTCTTCTCCAAAGACGAGCGCCCAGACTTCCTCAGCTTCTGCAGTGAACCATGAGAAACAGGAGACCAATGCTAATTCTTCTAAACAGGAAAGAGATGACAGAACGCCTAAGTCCAAGCCAAAGCGATCCATCTGGAGATTCTTCAAATGCAAGTCTTGTTTTGATCAGACTCCAGTTGAGGAGCCATCAAGTAATGAAATGTCTCAAGAGCAAAGTCAGGTTCAGGAGTAAATTCAGAAACAGAAGCATGACTTAAGGAACAACACTAAGAGCTTTGATATCTGTGTAATGGTTTCTTTTAAACTACTGCACAGAAGTCAGGGCCATCCTCAAGCTTTTCTCCTGTCCCACAAAATTAACCTTTTGAACAAACTCAACCCTCGATTGGAAACACAGGAGTTAGCATGCTAGCTCTCTGTCTGGGTTTCCACTATACACACATACACAAAGGCTGGTAGAGAAACACAAACTGCAGATATTAGTGCAGTTTTGGTTTCATCTGGCTTTAAAAAGGTTGCTTTGAGAGCTTTGTGCCCTGAGATGAGTCTATATAGAGGCTTCTTGGAGGGAAGACAAAGACTGGTCGTTGCAAGGACTAGCGCTCAACATGAGAAAGATGAGATGAAAGAGCTGCATCAGACAGGTTCTTATAAACAGAAAGAATGCCCATTCCATCTGTTTGCACTCATACTCTCTCTGCTTCTTCAGTGAATATGGAGGAACAGTAGAACTATGTTATTTCTTCTGAGTCCAAGCCAAAGCGTTCTGTATGGATATTTTTTTAAACGGCTACAGAAAAAGTCTAGAGACAAAAAAGCCGCTCATTACAGTCTCGTTCAGATCTGAGTTCTGTTGGGGAGCCAAGCTACAAATGGTGTAATAAAATGTCACTTTTGTCTGTCTTTAAAAAGGTTGCTTTGAGAGCTTTGTGCCCTGAGAGGATTCTATAGAGGCTACTTGCAGGGAAGACAAAGACAGATGTCCATGGAATCTCACCTGCCACCCTGAGACATTGTGAAAACGTGCTCACACATAATGCAGCTTTGCAGCGTATCTGTGTTCAGAGACCTTCCAGAGACTTTATATAACAGCAGTATGTGTTCACGGAGGTAAGATAAGATAAGATAGACTTGATCTCACACAGGAGAAATTTACATGTCACATCTGGCATGGATATAATCACTTAAGAAGAACAAAAAAAGTTCAATATAGAAATGTGAAAACATGTTAAATGCAGGATTTATTATCAGCGAACACGCTTGAAGCATTTGTATACAGTTACGGGAGCATGAAAACACATATGTTCACAAGCACTATGTCCCCCATTGTCAACCCTGGTTTAGTCCTGGTGTAGCTTTTGTTTTGACTGTTTACGAGTATTTTCAGTCTGCTCGCTCAGACCGCAAATGTCCCCATTACAACTTTGCGGCTCTCTGATTGGTCGCTGCATGAGCGTTCCGAGGAAAAGTTCAGCAATATTTATTTCCTGCGTGCGTCGATTTTCCTCTGCCGCACAGTCCGTGCGTCTCTACCACGCAGTCCGTGCGTGCATCCTGAGACACACATGCAGTTTTGTAAGACATGAGAAAAGAATGTGCCGTGAAATAATAAAACATAAAATAAATAAAAAGAAAATAAATGAAGACATGAATAATGTAAATCTGCATATAAATGTATGCAGAAAGAAATCTTTGGGCAATAAACTGCAGTTAAATAATAATTAATATTATTTTTTGAACGAACAAGGAAACAAATAAATGGAGACAGAAAATAATAAAGCTTTATTATTGGATTTGAAACAAACATCGAGTATAATAATAATATACCTTTTTTATATCTAGAAATTTGTAGCGTTGTATTATCAATAATTTGCAGATTGTGACATTTATTTATTCATTCATTCATTCATTATGTTGACAGTTTTGGTCCTCCATATTAGGTACTCAAGCTTTATTGATTACCAAGCCCATTTCAAAATTGTTTTATTGGAGGTTTTTACTAGCTGTAAGGTAATTAATCGAACAATTACATTTCACAGTAAGACAAGTTCACATTTCAATAATAATTCAATATATATAATGGCCTCAATAGACTTTTCTTTTGATTGTTTGTGTTACAGTATGTGTGAGTGAGTGAACGTTAAAAGATTGTCCTGTGATAACAATAACGTTCAAGAGAAAATATACAACTGAACAGAGAACACTGAGGATGTGCTGCCTCCCAGTGGTCAGCATCATGTACTGCACCTTGGGAGGGATGAAAATCTACCACTGTTGCCATAGCAATAACAATGCAAACATACATCATCTGAAAGTCTTTAAATATCATATGAGCAGAAAGACAAAGAAAGCCGCATGATTTCAGAATCATTTGTTTGATTAGAGCAACCTGTATCTGTCTCATGTGAATGATTTACCGTTTTTCAATGCAAGAGCTAGTTTTTCTGATTTCAGTTTTCAGCTCTCTTTTATCCTTGGGGATGTTCTTGTTTGTATGTTTTCAAGCTTTTCTTCTTTTGGCCGATACATATAGAAAATATAAATTCTTCCAAAAATAACATGCATAAAACAAATACCACCTTTGACAATAAATCAGTAATCTGCTGCTTCGTAGATACCTCCTTACGTTGGCCATTTACACAACAAAAACATTCTGTTTGATTTTATTTTCATACTATTACACAAATCATCATGAGCACATAGGAAGTTCATTTTAAACTACTCTGAATAATTTTTGACAATAATATATCCAGTTGCATGGATAATAAAAGCTGATAATAAAATCCATCATGCTTTCAAAACAAATTGGTTCTATCACTAGTTTCCACATGCATGTATTTTTTTGCTCTTTCTAGTAGTAATCTTAAAGGAATAGTTCACCGTTTTTACATACTGACATATGTTCTTACCTTACCTTAGACTAGTTAATACGTACCTGTCTGGTCTTAGTCCGTGCGCTCTGTCATGCAAACGGAGCAAAAACGGGAGCACAACCGCAGCCTCCTCTGTATATTTTGTAGCACCAAAAGGTAGCTCCCGCTAGAAGCTACCAAACTCTTCCAAGTGTTCCCTATTAAATGTATATAGTTACGTGACGTGTTACACTGCAAAGTATAGTAACACAGAAATGTAACAGTCGATTTTCTCAGCGGATAAAACGGGTACTATATTGTGAGGCGTAGTAATCTGAGGGGCGCTACGTCCGCGCACTAACTTCTCTCCGGAGACTTCTCTCTCGCTCACTTCCGTCAATAGAAGCAGCGTGACTTGTAATACACACAGTAGCAGCGAGAGAGAAGTCTCCGGAGAGAAGTTAGTGCGCAGAGAAGTTAGGAGCGCTACGTCTGCGCACTAACGAAGCTACCAAGAGTTTGGTAGCTTCTAGCGGGAGCTACCTTTTGGTGCTACAAAATATACAGAGGAGGCTGCGGTTGTGCTCCCGTTTTTGCTCCGTTTGCATGACAGAGCGCACGGACTAAGACCAGACAGGTACGTATTAACTAGTCTAAGGTAAGGTAAGAACATTTGTCAGTATGTAAAAACGGTGAACTATTCCTTTAAGTTATATAGCACCGTTCACAGTCAGAAACCTCCAGATTCAAGGATTTATTTGCCATTTGCCGTAAAAGTAACACCAAGGCTGTGGCACCACTGATGTAGTAGGCATCTTCCTGTGGACCTACCACCTGCAGAGGATCAGCGAGGGACTGGTGCTATGAGCATTGGGTGGCAGCTCTCATTGCCCCTCCCCTTGACCCAGAAATGGACTAATAAAGGGGCAGAAAATGAATGAATAATAGTTGTCCACTCATTTTTTTCTTTATCTTTTTTAATACATATTTTATATAATTTCGCTCCCGGCACAAGGTTTCATCTTTTTAATGCACCTCAAATAACAGGATCTGTATGAATCTTATCTGAATATTGATTTAAATTGTTTCTGCATAATTGACACTTTCTTGCCTGATGCTGCCAAAAAAAGAAAATAAAAAAGAATATTTAGCAAGTGAATAAGGTCCCCAAACTCATCGTCAGCATTACACCAGACCAGTGGACGGTCAGGCTGTCGGCTGCAGCAAAGGTCAGAAACCGAACGGCCACCAGCTCTGTTTCATTCTTCTCATTTTCAGTGGGCACCATGAGTGAGCAGTTATACAGAGCTGTGTAGGAGGGGTCCTTCCTGTAAGTAGTAGTAATCTTTATTTATATACCGCCTTTTCACTGCACATCGGAGTCTCAAAGCGGTTTACAATTGTTATTTTTTGGAGTGGGGCCAGTACAGGAGGCACATGCCAGACCTATTGTACATATTTTTAGTGGTAGGGGAAACCGGAGCACCCGGAGGAAACCTACGCAGACACGGGGAGAACATGCAAACTCCACTCAGAAAGGCCCTGGTCCAACCGGGATTCGAACCCAGGACCTTCTCGCTGAGAGGCGAGAGTGCTATCCACTCAGCCACCGTGCCGCCCGTTCCTCAGCTTGATGGTGCTAACGGCGGTGAAAAATCCATCTGCGTTCTCCTTCACATCCGTCTTGGACCAATGTTGGACACTTTCATCATGTCCCTGCTTCCATAAAACCACAGTGGGCTTGGGGTAAACGCCTTCAAACAGGCACGTCCCCTCAGCCGAGGACACGTTGACCAAAGCGTCACCAACGCACTCTAAAAGCAAAATGAATAGAATTAGTGCAGACTAGACATTCTTATGCATCTGTGACAATTTCTTTTTTTCTCAAAGCTATTGTCCAAACCATAGTCCAACAATCGAGAGGAAGTAAGATGTGTAAATGTGTGAATGCGTCTTAACTGACGGTACAATTCGCATTCTTATCACTTTTGTGCTTGAGTCCTCGTTCTACAGCCTGAGTTCACGATGTACAGCCTGTACGTGGGAGTGGACCCCTCTCTCAATATGGGTCCCACTTTTATCCCTCCCGGTTTTTTGGGGGGTTTTTTTGTGAGTAGTCCATGGACAGTGGTGATCCGGGACATTTAAGGAAATGTATTAATATCTATTTATGGACATTGGTCATTGCATTCTCTGTGTTCTCTCTGATCTGTTGTTGGTGAATCGACAACTTTGTAAAGTCCCCCCAGATGACTGCTGTTGTGATTTAGGGCTAGACTGAAATGTTTGGCTCCATGCGATCAAACCAGAACTAATCAGAAGTTATACCTGTTGAACATGTGATTGTGTTTTTCTGCAGGGACAGCATGGAAGATTGACATTTGCAATCCCCAGACACATTATTGTATCTTGATCAACATGTACACATCATATTTGGCCATTTATAATCAAGATATGTTTACACGTATTTATTTTTAATTCAAATACATGATGTACATGATGTGAATATTTCATAGGGTTTCCTTTTTCAGCTAAAAAAATAGCCTGATAGCCTAATAGTCTGTTGTGTTTATGAGTAACTTTGCTGCCTCTTGGCCAGGACCTTGAAAAAGAGGTTCTTAATCTCAATGGGATTTTTCCTGGTTAAATAAAGGTAAAATAAATAAAAAAACAAATTTCACTCTACCTACTTGTCTGAATAGTTGTAGAGTAGTAGGTGTAATTGTATTTTTATTCAGGCAGCCATCAAGAAAAGTCTCACAAGCTTATTTTTAGAATTGCACATAGTAACCACTCACTTTGCACTCGAACGATAGTCTGGCCATTCTTGGTGCCTTCTTTGGAGCGCAGCTTGCAGTGGTAGGTTCCCTTATGCTCTGGCTGGATGTTGAAGATCGTCAGGGGGAAGTCGTAGCTGTTCTGGGATGTCACGTTTGCACACTGCATGCTGGTGAGGTTTTTCTCCACACCCCAGTGACAAATATCATTTTTCTCCATCCATTTGAATTCTTTGATATCGAGAGCCACTTCTGTAGTTATATTACACGGGAGAGTCACATTGTCTCCGCATGTTGCCAGAACTTTATCAACGGTGTACATTTCAAGACCACCTGCATGCAAAAAGTGAAGATTCTCATGAGAAAACGATATAATAGTGTAACCATAACACAAAAGTATGCTCAATAACAAGATATTACAGTATAAACTAACCATGGTATGTATAAATAAAGTGTTTGATTTCAATTTCCTGAGTACGAAAACACATTATACAACATGGAAAGAGTGTCCTAAATAAATTGTCCTCACCTACTATACAGAAAACCGGAAGCCATAAGATCCCAAGTAAGCCAAAATGTTGAAACCTCATACATGCCATATCCTGCATCTAAAACCAAACAAAGTTAACACATTTTCATTCTAATTTAAAAAAAAAAATCTACTTTGGAAATTCTTAAAACAATTGACTTGTTCCGTACCCATCAGCCCTACTTCAGCCTACCCCTGTCTGTTAGAGCACTGATTCTAACATTGTTGAGATTGATACATACGTAAAATAAATTAGCATTTTATTAGCATTGTCGCATTGTCAATATACAATTATATACAGTTATATACCTTTGAAATGACATCTACAGGTACATACAATTATTGGTAACACTTTACATTACGGGCCGGTAAGTCCATGGTACTTACAGTGGTACTTCTAGGTACTTACAGTGGTACTTCTAGGTACTTACAGTGGTACTTACGGTGGTACTTACGGTGGTACTTACGGTGGTACTTACGGTGGTACTTACGGTGGTACTTACAGTGGTACTTACAGTGGTACTTACAGTGGTACTTCTAGGTACTTACAGTGGTACTTCTAGGTACTTACGGTGGTACTTACGGTGGTACTTACGGTGGTACTTACGGTGGTACTTACAGTGGTACTTACAGTGGTACTTACGGTGGTACTTACGGTGGTACTTACGGTGGTACTTACGGTGGTACTTACAGTGGTACTTACAGTGGTACTTACGGTGGTACTTACGGTGGTACTTACGGTGGTACTTACGGTGGTACTTACGGTGGTACTTACAGGGGTACTTACGGTGGTACTTACGGTGGTACTTACGGTGGTACTTACGGTGGTACTTACGGTGGTACTTACAGTGGTACTTACGGTGGTACTTACGGTGGTACTTACGGTGGTACTTACGGTGGTACTTACAGTGGTACTTACAGTGGTACTTACGGTGGTACTTACGGTGGTACTTACGGTGGTACTTACGGTGGTACTTACGGTGGTACTTACAGTGGTACTTACGGTGGTACTTACGGTGGTACTTACGGTGGTACTTACGGTGGTACTTACGGTGGTACTTACGGTGGTACTTACGGTGGTACTTACGGTGGTACTTACAGTGGTACTTACAGTGGTACTTCTAGGTACTTACAGTGGTACTTCTAGGTACTTACGGTGGTACTTACGGTGGTACTTACAGTGGTACTTACGGTGGTACTTACGGTGGTACTTACGGTGGTACTTACGGTGGTACTTACGGTGGTACTTACAGTGGTACTTACAGTGGTACTTCTAGGTACTTACAGTGGTACTTCTAGGTACTTACGGTGGTACTTACGGTGGTACTTACAGTGGTACTTACGGTGGTACTTACGGTGGTACTTACGGTGGTACTTACGGTGGTACTTACGGTGGTACTTACGGTGGTACTTACGGTGGTACTTACGGTGGTACTTACGGTGGTACTTACGGTGGTACTTACGGTGGTACTTACGGTGGTACTTACGGTGGTACTTACAGTGGTACTTACAGTGGTACTTCTAGGTACTTACAGTGGTACTTCTAGGTACTTACGGTGGTACTTACGGTGGTACTTACGGTGGTACTTACGGTGGTACTTACGGTGGTACTTACGGTGGTACTTACGGTGGTACTTACAGGGGTACTTACGGTGGTACTTACGGTGGTACTTACGGTGGTACTTACAGTGGTACTTACAGTGGTACTTACAGTGGTACTTCTAGGTACTTCTAGGTACTTACAGTGGTACTTCTAGTGGTACTTCTAGGTACTTATTGTGGTACTTACAGTGGTACTTCTAGGTACTTACAGTGGTACTTAGAGGTACTTATTGTGGTACTTACAGTGGTACTTCTAGGTACTTATTGTGATAATTCTAGATACAGCTGTAACTTAGTAATTCAAGGATACTACAGCATTATTCCTATGTAGTAAATGTGGTACTTCTACATACATACATACAGAGGTCATTTGTAGGATTGTTTGACTATAAAACATAAAACAACATTATGTAAAACAAACGTCTTTATTAATATGGAATAAGTAGCACAGAAAGGACAGTATAAATACATTTAATGCATATTTCAAAACAAGTTTCAAGGACAAGGGAAACACTGCAAGAACTAGGTACCCAACCCAAGTAACAAGAATTACACATTACCAGGTACTTACCAGCCAAGTACCAGGTACTTACCAGCAAGTACCAGGTACTTACCAGCAAGTACCAGGTACTTAACAGCAAGTACCAGGTACTTACCATAGGGACTGGCCCATAATAAGACAAAGGACTTTAACATAAGTACCAGTGATAACACCAGTAATTATACAGTAAGTACCAGGTACTTACCATAGGGACTGGCCCATAATAAGACAAAGGACTTTAACATAAGTACCAGTGATAACACCAGTAATTATATAGTAAGTACCAGGTACTTACCATAGGAACTGGCCCATAATAAGACAAAGGACTTACCCATAAGTACTAGTGATACCAGTAATTATATAGTATACCATGTACTTACCAGCAAGTACCATGTACTTACCAGCAAGTACCAGGTACTTACCATAGGGACTGGCCCATAATAAGACAAAGGACTTTAACATAAGTACCAGTGATAACACCAGTAATTATACGGTAAGTACCAGGTACTTACCATAGGGACTGGCCCATAATAAGACAAAGGACTTTAACATAAGTACCAGTGATAACACCAGTAATTATATAGTAAGTACCAGGTACTTACCATAGGAACTGGCCCATAATAAGACAAAGGACTTACCCATAAGTACTAGTGATACCAGTAATTATATAGTATACCATGTACTTACCAGCAAGTACCAGGTACTTACCAGCAAGTACCAGGTACTTACCAGCAAGTACCAGGTACTTACCAGCAAGTACCAGGTACTTAACAGCAAGTACCAGGTACTTACCAGCAAGTACCAGGTACTTGCTGGTAAGTACATGGTATACTATATAATTACTGGTATCACTAGTACTTATGGGTAAGTCCTTTGTCTTATTATGGGCCAGTTCCTATGGTAAGTACCTGGTACTTACTATATAATTACTGGTGTTATCACTGGTACTTATGTTAAAGTCCTTTGTCTTATTATGGGCCAGTCCCTATGGTAAGTACCTGGTACTCACTGTATAATTACTGGTGTTATCACTGGTACTTATGTTAAAGTCCTTTGTCTTATTATGGGCCAGTCCCTATGGTAAGTACCTGGTACTTGCTGGTAAGTACATGGTACTTGCTGGTAAGTACATGGTATACTATATAATTACTGGTATCACTAGTACTTATGGGTAAGTCCTTTTTCTTATTATGGGCCAGTTCCTATGGTAAGTACCTGGTACTTACTATATAATTACTGGTGTTATCACTGGTACTTATGTTAAAGTCCTTTGTCTTATTATGGGCCAGTCCCTATGGTAAGTACCTGGTACTTACTGTATAATTACTGGTGTTATCACTGGTACTTATGTTAAAGTCCTTTGTCTTATTATGGGCCAGTCCCTATGGTAAGTACCTGGTACTTGCTGTTAAGTACCTGGTACTTGCTGTTAAGTACCTGGTACTTGCTGGTAAGTACCTGGTACTTGGCTGGTAAGTACCTGGTAATGTGTAATTCTTGTTACTTGGGTTGGGTACCTAGTTCTTGCAGTGTTTCCCTTGTCCTTGAAACTTGTTTTGAAATATGCATTAAATGTATTTATACTGTCCTTTCTGTGCTACTTATTCCATATTAATAAAGACGTTTGTTTTACATAATGTTGTTTTATGTTTTATAGTCAAACAATCCTACAAATGACCTCTGTATGTATGTATGTAGAAGTACCACATTTACTACATAGGAATAATGCTGTAGTATCCTTGAATTACTAAGTTACAGCTGTATCTAGAATTATCACAATAAGTACCTAGAAGTACCACTGTAAGTACCACAATAAGTACCTCTAAGTACCACTGTAAGTACCTAGAAGTACCACTGTAAGTACCACAATAAGTACCTAGAAGTACCACTAGAAGTACCACTGTAAGTACCTAGAAGTACCTAGAAGTACCACTGTAAGTACCACTGTAAGTACCACTGTAAGTACCACCGTAAGTACCACCGTAAGTACCACCGTAAGTACCCCGTAAGTACCCCGTAAGTACCACCGTAAGTACCACCGTAAGTACCACCGTAAGTACCACCGTAAGTACCAAGTACCGTAAGTACCACCGTAAGTACCACCGTAAGTACCACCGTAAGTACCTAGAAGTACCACTGTAAGTACCTAGAAGTACCACTGTAAGTACCACTGTAAGTACCACTGTAAGTACCACCGTAAGTACCACCGTAAGTACCACCGTAAGTACCACCGTAAGTACCACCGTAAGTACCACCGTAAGTACCACCGTAAGTACCACCGTAAGTACCACCGTAAGTACCACCGTAAGTACCTAGAAGTACCACTGTAAGTACCTAGAAGTACCACTGTAAGTTACCACTGTAAGTACCACTGTAAGTACCACTGTAAGTACCACCGTAAGTACCACCGTAAGTACCACCGTAAGTACCACCGTAAGTACCACCGTAAGTACCACTGTAAGTACCACTGTAAGTACCTAGAAGTACCACTGTAAGTACCTAGAAGTACCACTGTAAGTACCATGGACTTACCGGCCCGTAATGTAAAGTGTTACCCAATTATTCTTTGTTGCTGATATTATAAAGTCAGAATAGAAAAGAATCACTCAACTGTAGTCCAGCACAATGTTGCAGAGTTTTTGGCTTTCTATCAAAAGAATTGGCAAATAAAATAAAAATAAAAAACACAGAAGTTTTCTCAGCAGTTCGTCTGGTCCACCCTGGTCCACAGAAAACTGGCTTCTGTAGATTGTGTAAGGTCTTACACAATAAAACACATCGACGTACGGGGTGTGTCAAAAAGAGAGGACCACCATCACTCAGCCAACCAGCACTCACTGTGTAAATAATAACATGTTTTCTCACATTCCATTCTTTACTTGTAATTTCAAATTCTGTGATGCAGAAGTAATGAACTGGACTTATTATTCACAACAGGAAGTTTTTAATTTTGATAGCAGTAGTGACATTTCCACAAGTTTCAGTGGACCATCTTTACGTTAACTACTGTATGTGCTATAGTACTAATAGTATTCTACAGTGTGTCTCAATGCAGTTGCAACGCAGATTTTCCATCTGGTTAAATGACATGTTACAACGCACTTCTAAATAACAGGTGTCCCTACAGTGGCATCAATATAAACACAAGCCCTTGGTGTAAGACTAAATCAAATGTTTCTTATCCTAACCCGTTCTCAGTTGATTTGGAAAATGAATCCTAATTTAATGTCGTGCATTTCACAATATGTTATCTTCCATCAAAGCAGAGAGACTATAAAAGAAAGAAACAAGTCTGTGCCTACAGGTATCATTGCATCATGATTTTTATTACTTTAAAAGTATGAGAATCAAATTGTGACTTGCCTCCTGCAGCAAACATTTTGGAAATTTTATAAAAAACAACAATCATTTAACTTGTTTAAAAGTCTTAAACAACATAAAAAATAAAAAATAAACTGCACGGGTTTTCAACCTTTCCCTCTTGATCTATAAGAGGATCTTTGTTTATATTCGCGGGAAAATGCTCCACCGACAGTGTGACAAAAAGACTAGCGGAGGAGACATAAAGATAAGCTGAAAATAAGTATAGGAGACCTGACTGAAGAAATTCAAAGCCCAAATGAGACCTGGGAAGTCTCTTGGTTTCTGCTTCAAGGTACTGAACAATAATAACTTAAATAGTAAATAGAAGTTACCTTTAAATCTAACTTTTAATATCACAACTGCATTGGATTTTTCTTTTGCCTCAGAACATGTTTTGGAAGTACAGCATTGGAAATTGGAAGACCACAGCATTGGAAGTCATTTACCAGTTTCTGCCGCTCATCAAAACAGTATTGTTCTCTATACTTCCTCTTCATTTGGGGCGGCACGGTGGCTGAGTGGATAGCACTCTCGCCTCTCAGCAAGAAGGTCCTGGGTTCGAATCCCGGTCGGACCAGGGCCTTTCTGAGTGGAGTTTGCATGTTCTCCCCGTGTCTGCGTAGGTTTCCTCCGGGTACTCCGGTTTCCCCTACCACTAAAAATATGTCCAATAGTTCTGGCATGCGCCTCCTGTACTGGCGACCCCGCTCCCATCTCTGTGTGGAGTGAGAGACAAATGCCCAAAATTAACAATTGTAAACCGCTTTGAGACTCAGATCTGCAGTGAAAAGGCGGTATATAAATAAAAACTTACTTACTTACTTACTTACTTACTTACATTTGGTACCTGCAGAAGTTGTGGCATGCTCAATTTATTTGTCTCAATTGAATAGGTTCTTTGTTAAAACCTGTTTTACTTAGGCCTCACCTCCAACTGAAATAGTCATTCTGCATTAGCACACAAGGGTGCAAACATATTCTTATTGGTACAATCCTAAGAAATATTTGCATACACCCAACAGCTATAGCTATAGTTAAAACTGTCAGGAGCACTTGCATTGTGCAAGTGCCCCTGACTGAGTGAGGCCTCATTGCTTCAAGAGACATTTAATAAAATAAATAATCGCATCATACTATAATTGTTACTAAGTAGGCTTACTTGAAATATTTGATTTAATTAAGATGCAAACAACAACACGCTGTTGCATTTTGAGATTTTCACATCCTGGTTGACCATTGGTTGACACATAACACAAGGGCAAATCTTCCTGTAACGAATGACTCAGGAGCACAGGTGAACACACACAAGACTGCAGGAGAAACACAGAGAAAAACACAGGATAAACAGCGGTGAACAGCCCACATAAAATATTAAAATTCTCTCTAAAGAGGTCACTGCCCGGCGGACCAGGGGACAAGAAGGGACCAGGACATGTAGAGAGCACTATAAGAAACATATTTATGAAGTTTAGAAGTTAAAAAAGATGATTCCGTGCATCTCCTGTATGGCGACTCCGCTCCCAAATAGTGGACAGTGACTCTGGTCTGTGAAAGGCGCTATATAAGATTGCTCACTTACTTACTTTTACCACAGTTTGTACTGATTATATCTAAACTAGACTTTAATAGACCAGTAAGAGTGCAAATTACACACAGCTCTCAGAAAACGCCTGATCTCTAGTTTTGAGAGACAGATTGATTGCAATTAGGCCAGAAACACCAGTGAGAGCAACGGCAGCATCACGCCACACAAGTGTCCGCAGAGCTTATGTGCGTCTGAGAAGCTCATGGCCCTCACAAACTGAACTTGCGTCTCATTCTTGTCGTTTTCCAGGGGCATCCAGAGGGAGCAGTTGTAATGGTCAGGGTTGGATGGGTCCTTCTTCAGCTCGATTTTGCTAACGACAGAAAACAGTCCTTCGGCAGACTGCATCACCTTGGTCTCTGCCAGGTGGGTGAGGTTTTCAAGTCCCTGGTTCCAGAAGACCACAGGCTCAGGGAAGACGTCCTTGAACGAGCATGAGCCCTCGGTGGGAGTCACATCCGTGCTTGTGTTACCGACACACTCTTGAGATGAAACAAAAAAATGTTAAGGTGGTGGGCAGTCTCAGTTGTATTTACAACTGCCAACAGACAACCTTAGAAATAGAAATTAATATATCCATCATTTGTATTACTTTATGGATATGCTTGAGCTAAGAGCTACTGAAATAAATAAATAAATGCATTTTGGTAGTAGATAAATACAGATGAGTCTAGATGTTAAATTTTTACCACAAAAAAAATATGCAAAAACAGATTCAGCAATATATAATGACAAAACATTGTACTGTCATTACCGCCCAAAGTATGTATATATACACATACATAGGGCGGCAAAGTAGCTGAGTGGAGGCTTTACACAGCAAGAAGGTCCTGTGTTCAAATCTCAGTCGGAACGGGGTCTTTCTGAGTGGAGTTTACATGTTCTCCCCGTGCCTGCGTAGGTTTCATCCGGCTGCTCCGGTTTCCCCTACCCCTAAGAACATGTACAATAGGTATGAATGAGTTGAATGGCTGAGTGAATGGATGGTGTTGTTTGGGGGCTTTGATTCAGGGCGCCCCAAGTGGTCATGTGTGGGACTTAAAATTTTTACGTAATATAATGATATGCTCGTCTCGGTTCAGAAATTACGCTCAGCGATTTTCTGGTCGATCGGAGCACTAGTGCCCTTTTGCTTTGCGACAGGAGGCGCAGATGAGTCTTCTGCTGCTGGACACCTGAATTCCTCTTATGGGGGATCAATAAAGTATCTATCTATCTATAGAGTCCATATTGGGTGTACCATTTTAGTGTCAATACGCTGTAGAACTGAGCCTGTGGCCTTGAAGGTTCAGAGAAAACACTCAAAAAAACTCACTATTGACGACCAAAAATAATGAATGATATTTCTTCTTTAAAGCAAAATATGTATATGTAGAATGGGAAGAAAACAATGGGCAGTGTATGAGATTAAGCTTCCCTTTTCATGCATATGTTATATATTATCATGTTTTGTATTGCTAATAAATGGTTCATTATAAAAAATAAATGAAAATAAACTAGCCCAAAATTGCACAATCAAATAGGAATCTTACCAAATCCAAACGTGCAACAACATGAAGGACAAATCATTGTATCAACAAGTTTGAAACAGTTTTTTCTCTGACTGCCAATATAAATGATTTAGAATACAGATCACTTTGGTCCCTGCACAACTTTATTAGTTTATCCTCTTTACATAACTTGTCTCCCATTTGCAAACCTACACTTTGAAATCTTCTCAAAAACAAAATGGTTTGTAACTAATCTTCTCACATATTTTTTTGACAATAATTAGCCCATACTCACTTTGCACTCGAACTATCGTCTTGCCATTCAGCACCCCTTGTTTAGAGCGCAGTTTGCAGTGATAGGTCCCCTTGTGTTTTGGCTGCACGTTGAATATTGTTAGGGAGTAGTTGTAGTATCTCTCAGAGTTTTTTGTATAGCTCAGTCCTCTACATTCAAAATCAGGGCCAGTCTGGTTTTCCGTCTCATAGAAGCAAATTTCTTGCTTCTCCATCCAGAAAAACGTTTTTATCTCTATGTCCTTTTCTGCAGCTATGTCGCATTCCAAAGTCAGGTTTTGTCCACACGTTGCCAAGATTTTAGGGATGGTGTACATTTCCATTTCAAAGCTGCCTGAAAGATCTAAAGGTGTTAAAACATTAGGATGAAAATATAAAGTGGAAAGCTAATTATTAAGATATGATTGGATGTACCTGCCGTGCTGAGAGTAGAAAGTAGACAGAAGATCACAAAAAAGCCACTGTCAGTCCTTACAGAAGCCATGGTGTTTCGCGGCCGTGAGACTTTAGAGTTTTAGGTTCTGGGTGAAACCAAAACTACACAGGCTGTTTAAGCTCGCCTCGTCCAACCACCTCAAGTAGGCAGGTCTCGCACAAGGACAGACATGTCCTGATATGTCTGGAGCGTGTTTGGAGACAAGAAATGTGCTCATTCGAACTTCAAATGTTTGCAAAAACTCAGAATTATACAAACATTAGAAAATGCTGAACTGTATACTATATACTTTCATTTCAGTGATTAGTCGATAAAATAATAATTCTTGTGTTTAATAAAATACATGTTTTTATTAAAATTACTTTTTTGAAACACATAATTATAAATAAAGATTACTGCAATCAATCAGTCTCTATCATATCAACTTAGAAGGTTTACATATGCATCTGTTTGAATGACTCAATGCCAGTGGTGAGTTGTGCATTACCTTCTACCGTATCTGGGGATTTTATACATATTACATTTGGCATACATTAAAGGATCTAGGGTGACAGGAAATGTGCAAACAATATTGAGTATATTATGTGCAATAAAGGTATTTTATGTACAATTAATAAGTGACTATAGCAGTGAAATTTTGCAGTCCTAGTGGAGGTCGTCATTAAGGGGCTTATTGTACAGTCTGACAGCAGTGGGAATGAAGGCCCTGCGGCAGTGCTCCTTCCTGCACTGAGGGTGCCTCAGTCTTTTGCTGAAAGAGCTTCTCAGCTCCTCTACAGTCCTGTGCAGTGGGTGGGAGGTGTCGTCCGTGATGGAGGTAAGTTTGACTAGCACCCTCCTGTCCCTCACCTCCTCCACAGAGTCCAGGGGCCTCTTGTCCCTCAAAGTTTTTTTTTTTTCTGTATGATCCCAGGTGAGAATCATTGTAGCTTTTCAGCTAATCTATATTTTATAATAATAAATATATATTACTAAGTTGGAACATTTATTTCACACAGTGAGTAATAAAATCATGTCACAGTGTATGTAAACTTGCCACTCCCTCCACCCAGTGAATCGAGATGACCTCAGCTTTTTGCAGGCCTTTGTACATTTACGGTATTTGAAGAGAAGCTTGTATTGGCAGCTTGGGTAAACCGCAAGTATTGTAACTTACCATGACATGTGCAATGTCTGCTGTTACTGTTGCTGAGGATCCTGAGAATGCCTCCAGCTCAATATTAGTTAAAAGAGTCGAGCAGATATGTGAAACTATGATTTAACTAAGCATTATGTTTAGATGCTGCCATCATGACGCATGTTTGCTCTCTTGTAAATTGCATGTTCTTTCGTATATCCTTGTCATAATAACAGGTGTTCGCTGCCAACAGAGTAAGTAAACAAAGTAGGACAGTGATCCCCAACATTTTTGAGTCGTGGTACATCTTTTTAATTGAAAACAATCACATAGCACACCACCAGCTGATTCTGATACAACAATCTGCAGTCTTAATGAATGCAAAGTCATTCTCATGAAAGTGAATAATCAAACAAACACCAAAATACTTTCTAAGCTTCTCACAGTATTTGAGCAATGAGGTGATATCATTTCCAAAGTCGCACCAAACAACATCTTACGGCACACTAACGCGCCACAGCACAATGGAGAATACACTGAACTAGAGAGCAAACAGAGCCTAAGCTATAATCTTCTGCTAACAGAGGATTAAAAACACTGATCACATGCTTTCAATGATTGGTTACGGATTGGTTACTACACATCCACTCTTCTACTGTAGCAGTAGTAACATCACACCATAACATTGCATCTTGGTTGGTTTAGATTAGATGCAAATTCATTCTTTTGACAATCATTTTATTACTTCAAATAAAGAAAGTGCATTACATCCAACTTTTTGTCCTTGGATGGTGCATAACTTTTGTGAACATTCAGTGGCACTAAGGCAGTAGAGAATAGAGACATGAAATAGAGAAATTTGGATCCAAAGAACAATGTTTAAGAAGCCTGTTGAATAATGCAGGAGCAAGCATGTCCTTTTTGCACAGAAAATAAAAAGTACACATCGTTTGCAAGAACTTAACCAGCTAATTCTATTTTGTCCTGTCAGGCCTCAGGAGCTAAGCAGGACACCTGGTCAGTACTGTGATGGCAGACCACAGAGAACTGTAAAAAGTGTAAAACTTTGCACATTCAATCCTGTGACAGATGTGTAAAAGAGCAGGCTCCGCACACAGCTTTGCCAACTTTGAATAAAGAAGAAAATTAATTTTGCACACTTCTTGCGTACACAATGTTTTTTATTTACAGATGTGCAACGTTTCGGCTGTGAGCCTTTGTTTCCCATTATGAGAGGCCATCTTAAATCGGTGCTGCAGTATCACATGGGTCACTCATATATTTATACAAGTGTTTGGCTATAACAACTCAATAAGAGCATAAAGATATATACATATTCAAGGACATGATAATTTTAAACATAAGAAAAAAACATGCAATGAATTCATGAAGTACAATAGAGAACATGCAATACAATACAATGGAAATAGCTGACAGTGCTCAGAGTCACTCTTGTCAAACTTCATCCATTCACTTGCGTCCGTGTTTGGGAAAAGTTTACCTTCAATTCTCATTAAAAAGTTTGATAATTTGGAGTTGTAGTCGTGCTGTGGACCAGCCTCGATCTCATATGCGACCAAGAAGTGAGGTGTCCACACAGTATTGGTCAAATAGTGATAGGACCACAGAGGGTGAACAGTTTCTTTATAGTTGCTTGGTTTTTATGTTTTTCTCCATTCATCTTTCACATTGTCCATTGTTTTCTTGTATTTGTCCTTTTTACTATGTACTTTATTTGTTGTGTTTTTGGTGCACACTGGGTTTGCACTACGCTTCCAATATGGCAAAGATGGTGATTGTGATTCTTCTGATTCTGTACCCACAATCAATCATCCTACTATGCTTAGTAGTATCGGGATGTATCGTGTTGCATTGTATGAGATTATAGATACGGTTCATCCTATTCCATATACATACACGTTTTCTCCCTAGTTTCACCACTTGGCTTAATTTGCTTTTGTCTTGCAGAGGTAGAGCTCCACCCCAGCCCTGAATGCAGAAGTGAAATACTTTAATACAAGTTTAATGATATTTGAATGATATTCATATTTTTGCTCAAAACTGTTTATCTAGCCCCTATTCAATAGTCTTTATTAAATGATGCTGCAAATATCAACTATATTGGTTAATATAGAGTCCTTCATAAAAATGTCAACAACAAAAAAAGTATGCATTTGCCACTATCCTTGCTTAACTTTCTCATAACCGGTATCCAAACCTTACATAAGAAAGACATGCTCTGACAAAGACTTTTGTCAAAACGCATCTGTTCATATTAGAAAAAACACAGTTTTCTGAGTGCCTCTTTCTCCATTTCTTTCATTGCAACAGTTTTCTCAAACCCACGAGTTGGATGAGCACCTGTAAGTGTTTTTACTATCTTTGATCCAGTGCAGCACTCCTGCAATCCCTTCACTCAAAGTCATGGGCTTGAATTCTATGTCACATGAATAAAATATTGTAAGCTGAGATACTATATGAAGTATTATCATGCAATATTTGTTTTTGTGTAGTACATTTTGAGGAAATGTTTTGTTTGAAATTGTGTGCTTGAAGTAAATAATTTAGCCCCATATCAAATATGTTAAGTAAGATGTAATTTAAGACCTTTATTTAGACCAGGGCAAGTGTCGCCTGGGACAACCAGCCGCATTGTCCATTGCACTCACTGCCAAAGCCAACTTGGAAAGAGTCAGAATTGTTTCTATAGCAACAGTGTTGTCTTTTTGTATGTTTGTGTTTGCTCCTCACAGTTTGAAATCTCCCACACAAAATCAGCATGGGTCATATTAAGACTAAAAGACAATTGTTTGGAAATACAATTTGAGACACATGTTTTTGATATTGATATGATATTTATACTAACATACAACTTTTTTAAGTACTTAAGTGCTCGATAAGACGTGATATTTTAAAGAAAAGAGGATCCAAAGCAATATCCTATGTTCACCAGTCTCAATAATTGTTTTTTTTCTCCACAACTCAGCTATGGGGTTCCACTATCCTGATTTTGGCAGATTATTGAGAAAATATACAAAAACATGTCTTATCAATGAGTATAGTCCTCATGTTCACCACTAGATGTAGCTGTTGTGCTGGTCTAATTTCGTCCCCGCTGCCCACGCTCCTGAAATGACTTGATTTTCAACTTTGCACACAATCCATAACAAATATCGTATTTAAATTAGAATTGCAGTTTTTTGAACAGCAAAAGTAACTAAGCTGTGCACGCCTTAGTTTTGGCTGAACTATTCTCTAAAAAGACTAATGAAACAACACAAAATGTAAATGAACGAGCTCACTACAGACCTGAAGAGTCAAACAGACTATTCAACATTTACAGTACAACTTAAAAAGTGGTTATGGAGCAATCAAAGCTGCTCACATGAACCCTAAGGTGTGACCCAATGTAGGATGAGAAACTGATGTATGTGAACTGGGATGAGAAAAGTACTGAATGTGTAAATGTATGATCTGAATGTAGTTGTGACATATGACTGAGTATAGATGTATTGTGCATGTCTGATGCTGGGAATGAGGTGTGGTTTCAACAAACAGGTATTAGGCTAATTGTGTGTGTCTGAATCAGAGAGTGTGTTGTATTGAGTTATTTCTATTGCATTGTACATTACTGTCTATTGTATTGATGTAACCAGGGACTGCAGATGGAAACTTGCTGTTGAGCTATAATCTGGTGCAGAACATATGTGTCTTTGAGCTTAATGTCTCTGTACATTGTCCCTTCAAATAAAGACTAAACTAAACAAAAATAAAGGTCCTCTTACCCATTCCATCGCCAAGAAAATACGTTTTATATTCACTTTGAAATGGGCTATTGTGGTATAAATGCACAGTTGTATGTTTTGAAAAAAAAACAAAACAATGAAATAAAAATATGATGTTATACTGAGTAGCTGGTGTACCCAACTTT